CTAATAATTTATTCATTTCTCCATTATATTTTGGCATTGGAGGGGGTGAGTAGGATCAGTAGGTTCTTCACGGTCAGTGTATTGTTTTTTTTACATTTTTATTGGTTGTCTGTCTGCATACCTTGCCATAAAACTAATTGCCCCCTGGGGGACATAAATAAATCAAAAGTTGAGAGTTGAGCAATACCAAAAACAAGGCAATGACTAACATTTTTATTTTAGGAATACTGATAATATCATTACCATAAATACATCAATCCTACAAATTTGTTCGATAATTATTTTCACGTTATGGCTGATAATAAATAAATGGTCAATATTAAAATTCTATACTTTTTTTTACTCAAGTTAAAAATAAAGAATTAGATTTGCTAGAGATTATATTTAGCAGTGTTACTGAATTATTAATATTTTTTTAATATTAACTTTGAGTATTAGATGATGGCAAAGGTAATCTAAATGTAAAAATAGGAGAAATAAGCATGAACTATTAAATATCCAATATCTGGCAATACTAATAAAAAAAAAATAAAAAAAAATCCAGATATCATCCAGTAACTGATATGATTCTCGTATGTGCATCACTAAATTGTATTTTTACTTATACTGTATACACACACACATATATATATAGCAATATAGATTTATAATATTTTAATTATTAATATAAAGTGTCATAAATTTGAGAAAGCATTGATGATATTGAAGTGCCTGCACAACAAAGTTTGGAGACACTGAAAATATGAAGAGAAACTTGCTTAATGAACATTTTGTAAACAGAATTATAGTTAAAATGAATTCTGTAAATCTTGTTGACTTAATTCATTTCGATTTCAACAGATATTCTTTGCTCTGCGAGCTGAAAAGTTTACGGGACACTAGTGAAGAATAACTTTCCCACCCTAATATTTTCAAGAGAAAACCCTTTCGTGTGTGAATAGTGGATTCGTAACTCACCTTGTAAGTGGCAAGGTACGTCATACTCAATCTCATCGTGGCGTGATGGGCTCAGGAACAGCGTTCCATCCACTAAAGGGAACTGCTCAAAGATGGGCAGGGTGTGATGGCAAAGGGCACAGTTCACCACATTGCGGTGACTCGCACTGAGCGCAGAGAGGATGAACTTCCTGAGATCCTCTCCCTGCCCGGCTTGGGCATCGTCCTCCATTCGCACGTGATATGTGTTGAGCTTGTGGCGGGGAACGTGTGTGAGCAGCTCTGAAAGATCCAGCCTCCTCAGGAACTGCACGGGGTTGTCTCCGGGAGAAAGTCGAGGAAGGGGGAACATGTTGGCGGCTCCCTGCTCAAGGTGAGCCCCACGTGCCACCAGACCTCCGGACAGCAAATGCCTCCTGTGGCCTTCCGTATGAACCGCGTTCTTAAGAAACTCGCCCAGGTGCCTAGAGCTACGCGGGCCACCGAGGGACGGGGGGAGAAGGGTGGCGAAGCCCGACGGAGGGGACTGAGCGGGGGATTCGCACGGGGAGCGGAGCCCATGGGAAATGGCATTGGGAGGACCGGCGTGACATCTCTCCTGAGAGTTCTGCCAATCGACCGATTGTCTGCGAGACAGTTCCTGACAGGAGCCACGGTGAGCTAGCTTATGGCTTGCAGATGATTTCCCTTTCTTGGGCTCGTCGGCAACTTCCGGCCCAACGCCTCCGCAAGCGCCACCTACGGAGGCACCACAGCTGGGCTTCCCGCTCCCTTTCTCTGGCATCTTTTTCTTGCGCTCGTCATGCATGCGTTTCACCTGGTACCAGTCAGTGTCTTTTTTCAGGTGTCCCTGGCCGCAACGACAGGAGCAGAAGCGGAAGGCTAGATCGTAGCCCTTTTTGGTCCACATGTTCTGTCGGCATTGCTTCTCGTTCCAGCTGCGGGCCCGGCCGATGCAGTTGAACTGCACCAGGATGCTGCTCTCCCACTCATAGAAGCACTGTAGGTGCATCCAATTGCCGTATGGGCAGAGTTCACTGTTGCACACCACACGCTGGTAGTCGTCCTTCTCAAGGTCAACGGGACGGCCCAGACTGCACACTAATGGGGTGGCACATGTGGCCTCTGCCAAACACAATGAAGATTATAATAGCTTAGGGTTAATGCAATGGAATAGCTCACATAAATAAAATATGACACTTCTTTCATCATTTACTCACTCTCATGTGGTTCCAAACCTGTATGACTTTCTTTCTTCAGTGGAACAGAAAAAGAGATGTCAGAATTTCATTGTAGGTGAAGAAAGGATGCAATGAAAGTATTTTTTTGTGCCCCAGGAAAGTCATATGAGCTTGTAACAACATGAGGGTGAGGAAATGATGCCAGAATGTACACTTCTGGTTGAACTGTTGCTTTAAGGGAAACTATCTGTGATTCAGTTCACAGTGGCTTATATTATGCACTAAACAAATATGATATTTGGTTAAATGTAGTGTACTGTATGCTGCTGTAATGACTGAATTACATAAGAAACATTAGAATAAAACAAATTCACAAAATTCATTAAGGGACATCTATTTATAGATAGTGTGATTCAAGCTGCTTTATTGGCAGAATGTTCAATGTCAGTACATCATTTCAATTCATTCACTCAAAAAGAAAAATATATTACACAACACTTCTGTGAATGAAGTTGAAGTGTGTCCCATGAGAGACAGAGAAAGACAATTATACAACATTTTAGTTCCAGTCTTCACATTTGATTGAACAGTGGTGTTCCAAGAGTGCTGTTTTTCTGTTTGAATCACTCCATTTTGAGTGTTCACTACCTTTCAAACCAGACTAGTGAAGCATAAAGCGAAAGAACTGTTTTCTCTCATGACCTGAAGCAAAGTTCTGTAAAGCCGGCTACAGCAAAGAGCAAGTTGGTGTTTTCTCTAGCTCAGAGTGGGTTTTTCTCATTCTCGTCAGTGTGCAGCCGGCTGATTCAAGAAGAACGTTCTGCTCCTCTCATAAAATTGCTTCCAAAACAGATATCAGTCTATGCATAGGTAAATGACACAAAATAATTTTTGAAAGATTTTTGTTTGTGGTGAAGACATTTACAAACTAAATGACCAATTTATACTTGATTTACTTATAAATGATAATAATAATAGCACTACTAAATATAAAAAGAGCTATGATTACCTACGCCCTGACATTCCATTGTTCATAGCTGCCACTCAAAAGATATAAAAGCACTTTCATTTCCTCAGGAGCCATAGCCATTCAATGCATTATTAAACACTCTACTTGCACATCATTACGGTGAAGATATGACATGCCATTACACAACACACACCCACACAACATTTTCTCTCCAAATCACATGCAAGTCCATGCCAAGTGTATTCACTCTTGGGCAAGGCCTACACAACCACCTTACAGTGCAGGACGATAAGTGGGAGTCGTAATCATTCTGATAGCCATGACACACACGCACACAACAAGTTGCTACAAGTGAGAGAACGTTAGAAGAGAGGTAACGCGCGCGCACTTTCAGGGAAACGTACCGTCATATTGAACATTCACTGAAGTGACGTTCTTACCGCTTATGCTGTCGCTTGGCGGACCCGCGGTGGCTCCAGTCAACACCGAGGCAGTTCCTCCTGTAACCGCAGACGCACAGGCTCCATTTTCTTGCTCGTCCCCGCTACTATTCGTGCGTTTATTTCTCTTCCCCTTGTTGCTTTTTTGGTTGGGCATAATGGAGCGCTCAGTATGAATGCAGCCTGTCAGCGACCGCCATCGAGCATTTCTGCGGATATCATCATGTCGAGGGTGCTTGACAAATCTACTGCGAATCTTAATGCACGGTAGATGCAGATGTTACAGTTCGATTATCATCCTCCAGATTTGTGCAGGCAGTCTTGACAGCAGAGGTACACCATGAAGAAGGCGTGTCCCTCTCTTGTTTTGATTCCTGCTCTGAAGAGAGAATGTTCCTCAGGCCCCGCCTCCATCTCTGATCCAGACCCAAAGCTCAGAGTTATTAATAGCGCAGACTGAAGGGAGTCCCGAGCAAATAATCGACACACTGCTAAAATTATTAGAAAACCAAAAGTGATGACCGTGCTATTTGAGCAGTTATCTTAATTTAATTGATCATGGTTACATTTTGTTATAGCTAGATGCCTGGAAAACTTCTACAAAGAACCTTTGACTCATTTTTACTTGGAATTCAAAATCAGGATCTCTTAAAGTCCAGGCTCGTTTGTTTCAAAGGTAAAACCAACATAGGCTATTAAATGCACCATTCAGGTCTATAATTCAGTACTGATCATGAATTTGAAAGATAAAGTGTTTTAAATACAGTTCATTTATTTATATGACAGAGTTTATTGCAATTTTCAATGATTCTGAAAGCAAACGAACCATAACAAGACAGAAACAGAAATCCATATGCATAATACAAATTTGAAATTTCAAGTCAGATTAAAATTTTGAGGTTGCAGTACACTCTCAGAAAAAAGGCACAAAAAACTGTCACTGGGGCTGTACCTTTTCAAAAGGTACACTTTTGTACCCAAAGGCTGCATATTGGTACCTTAGTGGTACATATTAGCACCTGAAATAGCCATATTAGCTCCTGATATGGACATATTAGCACCTAAAATGTACATATTAGCACCTGAAATGTATATATTAGCACATAAAATGTACATATTAGCACCTGAGCACCTAAAATGGACAAAAGTTTACCTTTTGAAAAGGTACAGCCCCAGTGACAATTTTTGTAAATTTTTTCTGAGTGTAGATTCATATATTTATCTATTAAAAAAAAGAAAATGAAATACTTTTATCAAGCTTATTGATACTATATATAGAACATACTTTTAAAAATCTTTTCGAAAGTAATTAATTATTCAAAATGAGAACCTCCTCAAGAGAGAATGTGATTTCAGACACAGCCTCTAGTTTATTTTCCTGAGCGTGAAATGGCACAAACTGCACCATTAGGAGTCCCATGTACGGTAACATTTGTACAGACATAGAACAAGAATAGCACAAGTACAATATGGGGATGTTTTCACAAGAGCTTTATAAAATATCACCCTGGAACATTTGCAGATGATTTGTTAAACTTGTTTCATTTCATTCTTACAGCAGATAAATGTTACTCACTAATCATATTTATCAGCCTTTGACATATTTTGGCACATATAACTTGAATGACTATGCATGCAATTAATAATTTTACAGTAATGGTACTGCATATCAAACAATCTCATGATTACTGCTGAAAGAGCAATTATGCAATTGTTATACACTCTTAAAAATAAAGGCCCTTTATTGACATTGATGGTTCCACGAAGAACCTTTAACAGCCATGAAAACGTTCCATTCCACAAAAGGTTAAAATGTTTGTCAGTCTAAGAAAAGGAAATGGTTCTTTTTAAATACTGTTTACTAAGGTTCTTTGGGGAATCACAAATGGTTATTCTATGGCATCGCTGCAAAAAAAAAAAAAACCTTTATTTGTTAGAATGTAGGCTGAATTGAATTAATTGAATTCATTCAAAGTCCCAGAAACATGTAAACATGATCATGCACACTGCTATAACGGTTATGATATATATTTCAATGATATGGCTGTTTGAACAGGGAAAATTGCTACTTTTTCAAAACAAACGTGTGTGCAAATCACTCCCCTGAGAGAAAAAAAATGCTGTATAAAAATATTCCAATGAAGTATACAAAGAATGTTACAATCTCAAGTATATTTCCATATGAAAATGTAGCAATGACATGTCAAAAACATTTGTTCTTTTTCACTCAGGTTTAGAAAAGACTGTCAAACTCAGTCCTGCAGTAATATGACATCTACGTTGTCGTGAACTCCTTGCAGTAGTAGCTCCCCTTCAAAAGTGATGATCTTCTTCCGCTTGGCCGCTTTCAGCGTTCCGACGAGAGCTTCAAAGAGGTTGGCACACTGGTCATCGTTAAACAAGACTCCAAATTTGACACTGATCTTTCCATCGGCGTCTGCGAGACAAGTAAGAGTGGTCAGGGTTTGCTCTAAATCATTTATTAACAACGTTGAAAGTCTCCCGTTAACATGTATTACTTGTTGAAGCACTGAGAATCAGTGTTTGATAAAGAATCAGTGTTCGCAAATCTCAAGAACAGTGAGCTAGCAGTATGAGGAATCATCAGCCTGGTTAGAGTGGATTGGAAAGCCAAATACTCAAAGACACCTGTATTTTTGTATGCCGACTAACCGAAACTAAACTCAAAAACACATTTTTTTTTTTTAAACATAAATTTAAGTCACCATTATGGTGATCAGTGTTTTTAGGTTTGTTTTAAAATAACGGTTTTCTCCTTCAGTGATTCTGCTTGTTAAAGGAGTAGTTCACTTTAAAAAAAAAAACTTTTGCTGATAATTTTCTCACCCCCAATGTCATCCAAGATGTCCATGTCTTTCTTTGTTCAGTCGAAAAGAAATTAAGATGTTTTTGATGAAAACATTCCAGGATTTTTTTCCATATAATGGACTTCAATGGGAACCAAACAAGGTCCAAAAGACAGTTTCAGTGCAAACTGTTCAAAAGGCTTTAAATGATTCCAGACGATGAATAAGGGTCTTATCAAGCGAAAATATCGTTCATTTAAAAAAAAGTTTAAGTTTTATAAGCACAAATGATCACCTTGCTCTGTTCTGTGTGACTTTCCTGTTTAAACTTGTTGATCAAAATGAATGAATCTTTTTCCGAGTCAATTCGATCGTTTCATTCACTGAATGAACCAAATAGCTCAAAAAAAGATTTGTACATTTTGATGAACGAGTTCGAACAGGAGAGTCACGAACGCGCATCACAGAACAGAGCAAGGCGAGTATTTGTGCTTATAAAACTTTAACTTTTTAATTTATTTTTGAAATGACCAATGGTTTCGCTAGATAAGACCCTTATTCATCGTCTGGTGTCGTTTAAAGCCCTTTGAAGCTGCACTGAAACTCTCATTTGGACCTTGAACTGTTTGGTTCCCATTGAAGTCCATTATATGGAGAAAAATCCTGGAATGTTTTCATCAAAAACCTTAATTTCTTTTTCTTCTGGACATCTTGGATGACACGGGGGTGAGTAAATTATCAGCAAAAGTTTTTTTTTTAAAGTGAACTACTCCTTTAACATCAGGTGTCTTCAATGTTGGCAATATAAAATAAAAAATTCTTAATCTTTGACGTCTGTTAGTGAGGTATTTTGTTACTTTTTTGGGTGTAAACTGTACTCAAGTTAAATGGTTAACTTTTAAGGAATAATTTGATTAAATATTACTCAATTCTAATTTGTTAAATTTAATCAATATTGTTGCTTGTAATCTGTTGCCGCGATTCTATTGATTATGTAAAGCATATTCATTTTTACAGTGTAGTTTAAGCATTATATTTAGGCCACCAAACCAATATGCTAATTTGTGACATTGATCACCTAAACACTTTTGTACAGTCGGTCAGAGGTTCTTCCATTAAAGCACAAGATGCACTTAGGATCATTTTCTAATCATGCTGCTGACATTAATGCAAAAATGAGATACCAAAATACAAAGACATTTTAAAATTGTGTAAATTTTCGATTCAACATTTTAAATTGGTAAATGGATAGTTCACCCAAAAATGAAAATAGTGTAATTTAGTCACACTCATGTTGTTCCATACCTGTATAAATTTCTTTCTTAAGTTAAACACAAAAAAATACATTTTAAGGAATGTTGGCAACTAGACAGTTGACGGTAGCATTGACTTTTTTTTTTCCTATGGAAGTCAATGGTTACCGTCATATGTTTGATTACGGACATTCTTAAAAATATCTTCTTTTGTATTCAATAGAAGAAACAATGGTGTTGATCTAAAATAGTACAAGACTTACTTATACTGCCCAGTCGACGAATCTCTTGAATGAGCAGCGTAACTTCATGTTCCACATTCATTTTTGCCACTGAAATTATACATGCATGTTAATAGTGAAATACCTTCCTTTTTTATTACTCAATCTATATTAGCCTACTGTTAAATAGGCTACTCACAAATTGTCAGTGAAAGTCTTTATTAAGATATAGGCATACTGACATTACTGTTATCTATCTTAGAGTCTGGAATAATACATTATAGTTGATTTAATTGCGTCCTCACAATTATTATCAACAAACATGCTGAATTAAACTGATTTAGACATGCACGTTCTATTCAATATTCATTAGCGCCCTCTCTGGACGAGTTGAGAATTGCAACGCCGCACCCTACCGGCTTATTGCAGATGCTGAATATAATTACTTATCATACATTTTGATTAAGGCAATAATACTTGTGGCCTGCATGATTAATAATACCATAGGGTTAAGACATAATGAAGCATAATTCATAAACGCCCGGCTTTTACAGCTGAGCACGAGCAAAGACCGTCTCTCTCTGGCACGAGGATTATCATTGATCAAGCAATGCGGAAGTGCGAATCTTAACACGGAAAGTGAGAGAAATGTGAGAAAATTGTATTGAAGCATTTTTTGTGAATCACACAGGATTTGAATCTAATCATCACGCGGATTTAATGCCGAAATACACTTAAATAAACAAAACAAAAAACACTTTGTGTGCGTAAAAAGGCACTCACACCGCATTAAAGAGGCTAGATTCTGAGTTATTAATCCATAACTCCACTGGGAAAACGTGTATTCGTTTAAATAATTAATTTAAATCATAAAACATTTCAAAGTAGGTTTATGTTCGACCTACTTACCTCTGTGGTGTTTTTGCTCCGCCGCTCTGCTGATTGAAATGAGAAAGCGCAACCATAGATGGCTTTGTGTGTGACGTCACATTAAACTGCCCCCTTTAGATTAACCTAGTTAGCTAGTAATTTGTTAACCTACAATAAATTGTTTGATACATTTGGAATGGCAGTAGGCCTAATACTATGTACTAATATACTATGTACTAATATATATAACCCTAATACTATATGGAGGGCAGTCGTCGACTACATACAGTAATGAGTTTCTGGATGGAAGGATTTTGATGCGTATGCTTATTTAAAACATGTTGACACAAAAAGTAGACTTCACGTAATAGATTAAACTGCTGCTGTAATTGGCATCTGTAATTTTAATGATCTAAGTCTTTGTTCCATAGCTTGTTTTGACAATTGATGCAATACAAACACTTTGTAACTAAATGATAATTTTAATAATTCAATAGCCTATTGTTATCATTATTATAGAAATACAAGAACTCGCTTATTTATTTTAAAATAAGTTGCATTTGCAGCAACATACGGTGTCTATCCATAAATGTTTGAACTTCGTATGAAATTAAATTTACAAGACGCCAGATGGCAGTAAAAAACAATTTATTGCGGATACTGCTATTACAGTGATGATTGGTTTGTAGCTTTATAGTCAGAGGTTAACAAATTATTTTTGTGTATTCGACTATATATAAAATATATAAAATATGATAGACAGACAGAGAGATAGATAGATAGATAGATAGATAGATAGATAGATAGATAGATAGATAGATAGATAGATAGATAGATAGATAGATAGATAGATAGATAGATAGATAGATAGATAGATAGATAGATAGATAGATAGATAGATAGATAGATAGATAGATAGATAGATGTTTTCTTTATTAATATTCATGCCGCAGAATAGCGCATGCGTACGAAAATTACGGCCGGTCTTACGCAAGGAGCTTGTCTTACGTATGTATATCGACGCCCCTTTGATTTGGGAAATGTGGTTTTTGGTGCATGACGGTTCTTTTGTAGTTTAGAACGTATTACGTAAGAGGGTCGTTAGCTACACCGACCAACCGGATTGGGTAAAAAAACGCCTTCGCCTCTTATTAAAGGTCCTGTCTTTAACAATGTAAACATTTAAAGAGCATACACTCCAGGCGCGTGGTTCTTTCAGGAGAAATGATGTAGTATTACTTTTATAATTTATTAATTTCTCTTTTTTTAGTGGGAATCAGATGACACCTGCAATGCATCCTGTACAAGAAAATTCGCGGTGGCCTCGAGTATCAAAGTTCACTCTGTCAGCATGTGCAGCAACTGTTGCAGAACTAGGTAGATACACTTTATAGTTTTTTTTAAATAATTAATGTATTTAAAAAATATATATCTAATATCTAATAATATCTCACCGAGTAATTTTTGTACAATTTTAATTTTAGTGACATTCCCTCTGGACCTCACTAAAACCAGACTTCAGATTCAGGGTGAAGGTGGTCCCCGACAGCATGGTAGTGTACAGCCTCCAAAATACAGGGGCATGCTGAGCACAGCTATGGGTATAGTGCGAGAAGAGGGGCCCTTGAAATTGTGGAGAGGGGTCACACCTGCTATCTACAGACATATAGGTAAAATGTTAAAATCGGCATGAAACAAAAGTTGTGATTGTCTTCTCTTCTCTATTGTGACATGTCTGAGTGAAACAACATCTCGAACAAGAAAAATGTAGGACAGGATTTGATTAGTTCCATCGGGAATGGACTGAATCGTTGTGGTTTGTTATTGCTCTCATGTGAGTGACAGGTTGTCCCGCCAGTAAACACATCATCTGAGAAGAGATGAAATGTCACTGTATGAGGTCTAACACAAAGGAAGATATTTTGAAGAATGTTGGTAATCAAACCTGATGAACTCCATTGACTTCTGTACTATATTTTTTTTTCCTATGGAAGTCAATGGGATTCATCAACTGTCATTCTTATGAGTAAAAGATGACAGGATGTTCATTTTGAAGTTATCTATTCCTTTTTTTAAATTGATGTACAAGTATAAAAGATTCATAATAAATACTGCAATATTCCATGACAATAAGAATTGTCACAGCCTACTTAAATAAATTTTCCACATGCATGTAATTGCATGCAACTTTTGAACTTTGAAATTCTTCATCCTTAGTGTATTCAGGCGGCAGGATGCTGGCCTATGAACAGCTCCGGGAATCTGTCTTGGGAAGATCTGAAGATGGTATTTTTCCAGTTTGGTGAGGGAAACATCTGTGAAATTTGAAACTGGACAGTTATTAAAGTCTAAATAGACGGGATCAGCATGTGTCCTGTGATGTCCATAGGAAAGCAGTGATCGGCAGTATGATTTCAGGTGCTCTGGGCCAGTTCATCGCCAGTCCAACAGATCTAGTGAAAGTTCAAATGCAAATGGAGGGCAGGCGTCGACTTGAAGGGAAACCACCAAGGTGAGGCACAGCCGTAATGCGTGTTCAAGCTGATAGTTCACCCAAAAATAAAAATTCTGTCATTAATCACTCGGCCTAATGTCGTCCCAAACCCATGTTAGTTTCATTCATCTTTGGAAGACAAATGAAGTTCTTTTTGATGAAATCTGAGAGCTTTCTGATCCCTTCGTTGCAAACGCTTCAAAAAGTTCATAAAGAGATCGTAAAACTAATCGGTTTAATCCAAATTTTCTGAAGAGACTTGATCGCTTTATATGATGAATGAAGCTTCATTTGTGTTCCAAAGGTGAATGAAATATAACATTTCCATTTCACAAAAGGTTCTTTACAATGGAAAAAGGGTCTTCAGATTATTAAAATGTTCTTCTTCACACTAAAAAAAAAAAAGATGATCATTGAAAGGTTTATAGGGGAAACTAAAAGGTTTTTTTTATGACATTGCTGTGAAAACATCCTTTTGGAACCTTTATTTTAGGAGTGTACTCATTCTAAATGCATGTAGTTATTTTTTAAACTGACAGAGTACATGGGGTTTACCATGCTTTTACAAAGATCATAGCAGAGGGAGGAATCAGAGGCCTTTGGGCAGGATGGGTTCCCAACGTTCAGAGAGCTGCCCTAGTCAATTTAGGAGGTACAGTAGTCAAAGACTTCTAGAAATATGTTGACAGATACATTTTTAAATACGTCAAATATTTTTCGCTTTATTTCACATTTAGATCTCATGACATATGATACAGTGAAGCATTTTCTACTGAGAAACACCTCCATGCCGGATACAATGGCGCCACCAGGGGGTGGCCAGGGGTGGCCATGGCCACCCCTGGCCGACTCCTGGCCACCCCATTGGCCACCCCAATGGCCAGTATTAATTTTTGTAGCATCAGTTATGCATTTTATAAATAAGTCAAAAATATTCTTAAGTAAAAGAAGACGGGGAATTATGTGTCGTGACGTGCTTTTTAAGTGCCAAATGGTATACAGCAGCTTTTAGGTGTGTTTTTTGCCACGTTTGGACAGGGGATGCAAACAGCGCGCTTTTCGGCGCCTCCCGCTTTTTTCACGTCAGTTTGGGTGACAAAGTCATCTGAAGTCATTCCATAGCTTAATGTGAGGTACAGAAGTATATTTACATCATTAAAGTATAAACTCGTTTTCCCTCCTCTGCGACTGTCATCATCCTCCATTCATATTCAAACAGCACGCGCGCCTCTTGGATGCACGGTAAAACTCTCTCCAATATGATATATTCACATTATAAATGCATGATCTGTAGATAAAAGTCTGTATATTCGCATAAAATTACTTTATTTTCTTGGAGTTTGTTGCGGTTTTTAAGCGACTCACCGGCGTGTTCTGTTAGATCACACATACATATCACAAGGATTATGAATCGGCATCAAACGCACAATAACTGTGAAACAAAGGAACAAATCGCACTTGGATTTGTGTGCTCAACATTTTTTCGATTTGTGACATGAGCTTTTAAATGCACATTTATGAAGCGCAGTGCTGCTGCACACTGTGACTCCATGTTGCTTTGAGCACATCATTCTGCACCCGCGATGTTTTTCATGTAATCATGCAAGAACGGGCTCAATCATGGGTTTGCGCACTGAAATATTATTAAAAGCCAATATATTTTGTTATACCTAGCCTGCTCAATACATTTTAAATAAGCATAATTTAATTGTATATAATTTATTTGTAGTTTAGGCTATGCACTTCTGAATTCTTGACAGTAATATATAAATATAAAATTGTGACATGATTGCCTGATTGAATTTTAAAAGAGAACTAATAGTAATTTGTTTTTATTAACATATTTAGATTTTATAAAATTACTGTGCAGATTTTTTCAAGAATTACTTTTTGCTGCTGATGTATACACTCATTAAGTGTATTAAAAATTCATAATACATTTATGTAATATTTAAAGGTGTTAACTGTAATGTTACACTGCAAACTAATAACTTAAAAATGATTAAATTCATCACAATTATGTAAGTATCTGGAAATTTGCTGTGGGGCAAGGACCCTTATATATAATATAATATATATCATTACATACAATGTAATATATATTAGTTGGGCCCTACTAATATCATTAGTAACATTAAATATTACACAATAAACCAAAGTATATCAGTAGGAGTTTCCTTAAGTCTTTCTGATAGTTTTCTACAGGCTGGTTTATTACAACAGTAGAAAAGAATTCTGAAATTATGGTTTATACTGTAGTTTTGGTGTGCCACCCCAAGATTTTAACTGGCCCCATCTGGCCACCCCTACGAAAAATTTCTGGAGGCGCCACTGGCCGGATAACAGCATTTGTCATGGATTGGCAAGGTGAAATTCTGTTATTCTACTAATGTTAACACATACAGTAATAACGTTATGACTCATGACTCATGTTTTTTTATAGCATATGTTCAGGATTGGTTGCAGCTACTATGGGAACACCAGCTGATGTTGTGAAAACTAGAGTAATGAATCAGCCACGGGATTCAAACGGAAGGTTCGTTTTGTGTATTAATCAAAGCTGATTAGTAGTTGAATGAACATTAGCTTTGTTATGTTTATCATTCTGTTTGCAGGGGTCTTCTCTACAAGTCTTCTACTGACTGTCTTGTTCAGTCGGTGAGAAGAGAAGGATTTTTTTCGCTCTATAAAGGGTTTCTACCAACTTGGTTTAGAATGGTACTATGATTTAAAATATGTTTGTTTAAAGATTTATTCTCTTTTGTTGCTATTTTAACTATGTTTTTCTTCCCAGGCTCCCTGGTCTTTGACTTTCTGGCTTACATTTGAGCAAATGAGACGAGCAATGGGCATCAGCTCATTTTAATGATTTTTTTTTTTTTTTTTTTACTTTGTCCCTTTAAAGTTTCTGAGCTAAAAAGTTCCAGTTCATGTGTATTGAGTTACACAATGCAGGACACACACATATGAGGAAGACTCCGCAAAATTGTTTGATCACTGTATGTTTAGGAGAAAATAATTTGGCATGGCAATCATTAAAGTCTGTTTATAAAAATGTGAAACTGGCAAAGCAAGTTGTTCCCTTTTTTCTTCTTTTTTAATCCACATTATTATAGAGCTGTTACTTGTTGCCGTTGCCGGTTTATTACCTCTTATAATCAAGAAATAAACGCCCAATGTGTCATATATGTTAAAAATGTATCAAAAATGCCCAATGTCACATGTAACATTAGCTACAGATCTTTCACAAGGAGGGGTTGTATTTCAAAAACAACTACAGAAACGTGTTATAAGTGGTCCATTTGGTGTTTTAAATGCCCCATATTTATCCTATGTGGAGAAAATTGTCCGGGTTCTTATGGGTTAATATTAAATTAATGCTCAGGGTGCTGAAACAACCAGTAGAGGGCATCCAGTCAATAACTTTCCCGGTAAGGAAATAAACCCGGAACGTAAACAAGAACCCGCTGTCTGTGTCATTTCCGGTCTGGCAATTTTCACATTCAATAAAATGGCAACGCCGAGTGGTGGCACGTCCAAGCGTTTAGTCCAGTATGTCATCGTCCGATCAGACTTGATACACGCTTTATCATGGCCTTTAGGGGCGGTTATAACTCAAGCCTGTCACGCGGCCACGGCAGCCATTCATTTACACTACAGTGACCCTGATACACAGGAATATTTGGCAGAACTCGACAGCATGCACAAAGTGGTACTTCAGGTTAGTACTGCAATTAACATCACATGCACCATATATTTCTGACCTAGAAGCAGTATAGTAAAGTTTGATTACTAAATTTTGTTAAGAAATACATTTAAAGCCATCAATAGATTCACTAGTGGCATACACACACACACACATAATAGACAGATATTTTAAGTAAAATATTATTTTTAATAATAATTATTATTATTTTTTAATAATTTTAAGTAAAATATTATTTTCAATAATTATTTTCCCCCCATAGGCACCAGATGAGGCTTCTCTCTCCACTCTTTCCAGTACTCTACATGAAAAAGATATAGCACATAAACTATGGATGGAGCAGCCGGAGAATATCCCCACATGCTTGGCTTTGAAGCCCTACCCCAAGGAGACTGTGCAGCCCTTTCTAAAAAAGTTCAAGCTTTTCAAATGAATTCTGCATGTATTGTACAATATAAACACAAGCATTGACCAGAATGGCATATACCATTAAGAATGAACTTGTTGTAACAGTCTTACCATCACATTTTTGACTTTCATCCACATTTTGTCTGCTGTTATATCTGTGTAGCACAATGCTACTTAGTTATGGAATTGTACCAGTATGGCGATTGAAATATAATGAAAAATGTATTGAAATTGAAACAATGTATTTATTCCACATTTTGGGTAATAAATTGAATCTATATGGAATCTGCAATGATCCTCAGCATGCTTTAAAAATGTAGACCCCTAAGGTAGCCCTACTGATGATTCACTCGAAGAGTTCAAATTAAAACACATAATTATGTATGTGCTAACGATGATGGGTCAGTAATTCTGGACTGGTTTGTTAAGGTCCATATTATGCAGTCATCCCACCTCTCCATGAAGGTCTCTTGCTAATTGATAGCTCCCTAGACGCCCGCAAATTATATATACACTTGGAAATCTAGACAACAAGAGAGAAAGAAGGCCCATTTCTAGGGTATTAAAGTAATATCTGTTTTGATGTTGCTTCCCTAAATCGAGTTTTTGCAGGATGGGATGTCTGCAAATGTTCAGTGTGGGCGTATAGCATGATTCATCCTAGAGGAAACAACTCTTATGAGCAGGTGTTCTTTGTAGTAAATCAAAACTGACCTTGTGATGGCATTTCCAAATATTTTTTCCTCAAATGTAAAATAATCATTAACGGAACTGATTTTAAACACTTTAAAGTCCTTACAGTTCACATCCCTAGATATAAAGATGGCACTGGCAGTCCTTTTTCTTTTTTACATGGTGCTTTATTGCAATGTGTTGCATTCTCACATTCATGGATGTTATAGAGATTTTGTTAGTCAAAGCATCATTTCCTTCAAGGTATGTATCTTCACCTTGGAAAAGCAACAAAGGGGCCATATGCACGAGGTGTGAGTGAATGTTTCTTGTTTGTCTGAGTGTATGCATGAGTGTGTGTGTGTGTGTAAATGTTTGTGTGTAAACTTCAAATCTCAGTTTGAGCAGCCACATAATTCCATGAAATGGACAAGAAAAATAAGACTGATTCAGTAGATGCGAAACACAGTTTTGCAGCCTGCAGGACAATCCTGCAGGTGCTGGACCCAGCATGTGACTGATTGTCTACAACGTCCTAAGAAAGGTAGGATTCTCCAGATAACCCTGGATATAGAGAAAACAAACAGAAAAATAAAAACATGACAAAACATGCAGAAGTCTCCCAGATACATCTTCATTCATAATGTCCCACGCACAGCTGCAATGATACCTCTTAAGAAAAAAACGAAACAAAAAAAAACGTTCACAAGTATTATACAAAACTGGACAAAATGAGTAAAATGTATATATCTATATATATTTGTTTATTTATATTAATTTTACAGGTGAAAAGTGGAACCTTGCCTTGAAAGAACGAGCGCCGTTTCAGTGGCGCTACAAGCACCACTTCCCTTCACCAAATACAACTAATGTCTGTATGTTAATAAGGCAGCACTTACAATATGTGAAAAATCCCAGGTAAACAGTAGCTACTGTAGATGATACCACGTAGAGATGACATCTGAATGACGAGGAGAGTGTGTGGTGGTCGTAGGATTCGCTACGATGATATGAGGAAATGCGGATTGTACAAGTTTGCATAAAATGGATCTTAGCACTTTGTTTTGGCACTGAGCGTGCGGGGCCTGAAACGACACGACGATGCAGACCGCGGTGAACCGAAAGCGGAGTAAGATGAGGAATGTCTTGAAAAGATAACGCCTGAAGGAGGTCTAAACGGACGGGGCAAAGGGGAGGTGGTGCACCTGAAGAAGATAGGCATAGTTAGATGCAGCAGTAAAACACCCACGTAGCAAAGGCTCTGCTACCCTGCTCTTTTAACAGATCCAATGAGGAGGGCCTGACAAGCCAAGTTCTTCCTGAAGAACCTGAGAAAGCGAAATGGCGTTCCACTTTGCTAAAATACATTCAGGGGATACTCGTTCTGTTTCGCCAACAACATGTGTTCGGATTTTTTGACATGGCCTCTTTCCTTGTAGTTTATGTAAAGTGCAAAACTAGATTGTATTCCTTGCAAGTTCCTGGTACATTTAGGTTTTTAGTAAAAAAATTCATGTAAAATACAGCAAAAGTCTTACAAAGGTCAGTATAAGAAAATCCTCATAAACAAGAAACGTCCATCAAACGGTGAGGAGCAGTCCTCTATGCTGAAAATATGTACAAGAGGCACCTCAAATTTGGTATAAAGAATCCAGCTAAATAAAGTCAAATATCTAAGTAGAGTTGCATCAGTATGTTTTTTTTTTCCTCGTTTTTAGCCCGAGCAGCTCGAAAACCACTTGTTTCGAACTACAAATTATGTGTATCCTTGAGTTAAAAACAAAAACAGGAGATAGCATGCATCGCTAGAATACTGCAGTCGAAGCAATAATCCGTTCTGAGTAGTGTCAGTTTTAAAACAAAAGCCAAATGATTTTCATTTAACCTCTAAACGTGCATAGCTATAGCGGTTAGAAATCTGTCTTCCTGAAAACGGTGACTAAAATTCCTCCCGAAGAGGCATTTGCATGTTTGGTAGATCTGTAGCAACGGGGGAATGTCTCTTCGAAAATAATCAAACCAGCTAGGGGGGAAAAAAATGTCTAAATAATAAATTAAAAGTGTGGAACAAAATGGTAGTGTTCTAAACACGACAGGATACGGGACACCTATTCAGGAAAAACTCAGTGCTACATTTGTCCAATTGCATGAACCTTGCATATGATATGAATCTTTTAGTATCTTGAAGCTTTGGTCATTATACCGTTCTTGTCTTAAGAGCGTTTACACATGGCAAAACTACATCAGGCAGTTAACGAAACCCCACTACAATAAGCCGGCGCTGTTCTCAAACCAAGGTTTCACCTTTTCAGAGCTGTTTAAACTTTGACAACAGAGAAATTAAATAATATGGCCTTTTTTTTTTAAATTAACCCGTACAAAAGCCAGTCCATGCTGCTTCTCCCTCAGCAAAGTCACATTCAGCAGTCGCTAAACCATTCTCACATATAGAGCAATCTCAACACCCACAGGAAAAGTTGCAGGTATTAAAAAAGAAAGAAAGAAAATAAAAATAAAAATCAGGACATTTGTCTGTTTTTCCATATTAAACACCAGATATACAGTATTAATCACACATACACACTTTCAGACAGCCATACACATCTAAAAAACAAAAAAAACAAAAACAAAATGGAAGCAAGTAGTTATTACCACAAACTCGGAGCACTACATTTTGTTGATTCTGAACAGATACATATTCACATTTATCTGTTATATACACAATACTTTGATAATCCAGGTTCTGAATCGTTCTATTGTACCTTGGTGTTGTGTACTGACTGTGAGAGCCGTTATAAACGACAAAAACGGAAAAATAAAAACATTATTAAAAGCCGCTGTTTGCTAGTTTGGTATATTTGGCATAAACACAGTAATGATGACAGGAAGGGTTCATTAAATGAATCTTATTCACTGCATACATTTTTTTTTTATCTAGTAAATGGACTGCATCTATATAGCGCTTTAACAGACCCAATTGGCCACCAAAGCGCTTTACATTTTGCCTCACATTCACCCATTCAATCACTCATTCACACACAGACGGCGGTGTCAGCCATACAAGGCGCCATCCAGCTCGTCGGGAGCAGCTGGGGTTAGGTGTCTTGCTCACGGACACCTCGACACTTGGTCAGGTGGAACCAACCTTCCGGTTTGTAGACAACCACTGAGCCACTGCCGCCCCCTATCTATTCAGGAATGCCTGTTTCCCAAAGAGGAGGGCAGAAATGAATCATTACGGAGTCTGTGTTTTTTTCGGCGAGCCAAAAACGGGAAAAAACACAGACCGACTTTTATGTCATGCGTTTGTCAATTCATCTTGCTTTTTGTAATGTCTATGTACATTTATATATAGCAAAAAGTGGCTTGATCTCAACAGCACATACTGCTGGCTGAATTTCGTAGACGAATGACGATCAATTTCACGAAATTGTAAAAATAAATTCCTGTAAGGACAATCTGAGCTGGTGTAGCATTGGAGCCAGAGCACACGCACAAAGACACGGCACTTAAACTCCACGGAGTGAGTCACGAACAAAAGAACACTGTTAAAGGAGAACGAAATTATGTGAGGAGGGGACACGATTTCGATTGCGTTGCACGATTTTGTGAAATGCTTCGTGCGCACACAGCACAGCAAGTCTTTATGTGGGCGTGACAATTTGATACCTTCGAAGAATTGCGTTTTCGATTTTCTGTGACTAGCTTCATTTCGAATGTTTAGGTTGGGATCGAATTTAAACGATTCTTGACTAGTAGGTAAATGAATAAAGGATAATGCTGATGAACAGTGTCTGACTGGGCAACAGTAGTCTCATGAGCAGTCAAAGAGCTAGAGAACGCAGCTGACGGTGCGAACGTTGCACGAGACAACATTCCCGTGGTTTTCGAGAGCATCTTTGAAACACTCAACTGTATAATGAAAATCAATGTACAATCTACATTTTCGCACCTGCGTGCGATGCAGCAGAAAGTCTGTAACATTTACCGGGGTGTTCGATAACCAATATCAATCGTAAAAATCCGAGTCTCTCTCACTTGATACGCGAGACCCGTGAGACCCTACTGGAGGATTACTTTTTAAAATAACAAAAAGCGACATTACAGATTTAGTCATTAAAAAAAAGAACTGCTGTTATGTTGATGCGTTCTAAACGAGAGTTGCCTGAAATTTGATGATGTTTAGTTTTAAAGGAAATTACAAAGTGTGAGCTTGTCCCAACTTTGACCGTCTGTGCTGTACAATAATACCAATCAGCACAACACGTCGCTGCAAACAACACTGATAGGCTGAGTTGACCCTGTGTGGGTCGTATTCACAGCTGCTGAGGGGGGGAAATGTGTAGGACGTTGTTAACAAACAAACAAACAAACAAACAAACAAAAAACTGTCTGTTGTTTCAAAACAGTGTTGCCAGGAAAGCCTGCGCCAGACGGATACGCACT